TCCAAAGGACAATTGTTTGCCTAAAGATCACAAAAGTGCAAAGAAGGTGTTGAATGGTCTGGGATTGGGCTATGAAAAAATTCACGCGTGTAAAAATAATTGTGTATTGTTCTATAAGGAGAATGAAGCGCTAGATAAATGCCTTATATGCAAAGAGTTGTGGTTTAAAATGATAGCTCAAAACAAAACGACGAAGATTTCACAAAAAGTAATGCGTTATCGTCCAATAAAGCCTAGGCTTCAACATTTGTATATGTCGACGCATACTGCTAGCGACATGACATGGCATAAGGACAAATGGTTGGATGACGATTTGATGAGGCATCTAGTTGATGGTGAGGCATGGAAAGAGTTTGATCGTTTGTACCCTAATTTTGCGCGAGAGCCGCGAAACGTAAGATTGAGGCTAGCCACAAACGGATTTAATCTGTTCGGGGTATTAAACCAAAACCACAGCACTTGGCTAATCTTCGCAATTCTGTACCATTTGCCTATTTGGAATTGCATGAAGAAAGAATATATGATGATGACTATGTTGACAATCGAGGATCTGGGCAAGTCTATCAATGTATATTTGAGGCCATTGGTCGATGAGCTAAAAGATTTATGGGACAACGAAGTTTTGACATACGATAAATCAACTGGGCAGATGTTCACCTTGTGAGTAACAGTGAGGTGGACTATAAACGATTTTCTCACGTATGCTATGATGTTCGGGTAGAGTACTAAGGGTTATTTGGCATGCCTAGTTTGCAAGGAAGACACAATGTCTTCTTGGCACGTCGGGAAAGTTTGTTACCTAGGGCATCGTAGATGGTTGCTGTGGGACCATGAGTGGCATCAGAACGAGACGATATTCTTCGATGGAACAGAGATTCAGCCAAGACATAGAGAATGGTCCGAAGAAAATATTTTAGCGCACTTGAATTGTTTGGATTTTGGTCCATTTGCCAAATTGGTAAATAAGACTAGACCAGACACCCATCTAAACTGGAAACACAAGAGTATGTTGTTTGAGTTGTCGTACTGGTCCAAATTGAAACTGTGCCACAACCTCAATGTTATGTTTGTTGAGAAGAATGTGTTTGATACACTAGTTGGAACTATATTAGACATCGAGGGAAAGATGAAGGACATGAACAAAGCTTGCATTGATTTGGAGCAAATGAGAATAAGGCCACGTTTATGGATGACAAGGGAGGGTGAGATAGCCAGAAAGGGGTTAGCTTCTTTTTTTAGTAAAATCGAATAAGAGGAAAGAGTTTTTAAAGTTTCTATCCTCTGTAAAATTTACAGATGGGTATGCTTCAAATATCGGACAATGTGAAAAAGTCGATGGGGGCAAATTTTCTGGGCTTAAGACTCACGATTGTCATGTCATATTGCAACGTCTGCTCCCAATTGGTATTCAACACCTATTGCCAGAAGATGTGGTGAAGCCGATTCTATTGTTGGAGAGACTTTTTTCTCAATTATCAGCTAAAGCGTTGCGAAAGTCTGATGTACAACAGTTATGCACTGACATTGTTGAAGTCGTATGCAAGTTTAAACAAATATTTTCTCATTCTTTATTCATAAGCATGCTCCACGTGATGATTCACTTGTCAGATTAGGCATTACTTGCAGGACCCTTCAACTATCGATGGATATATCTAATCGAAAGGTATAAAGTCTCTAATCATTAATTAATTCGTGATCAATTGATCATTTAACTTATTTGAATCATCACAATTTTATTTTTGCAGATCACTAGGTGTGTTAAAGAAGAGTGTAAGGAACAAGGCAAAGCCTAAAGGATCAATTGTGGAGGCTTAGGTGGCATTTGAGACGAATACGTTTTGTACTATGTACTTACAAGACGTTGAGACGGTGTTCAATCGACCACACCGTAATAATGAGGGTGGTGTGAAAAGGAAAAAACTATATGTGTTTGCCTAAATCGCACGACCATTTGGCGAACCAGTACAAGGTGATTCGTTCACCGAAAGAGACATGCAAGTAACTCATTAGTTCATACTTAACAATTGCAACGAGATAATTAAGTACCTGGATGAGCATGAAGAGTTGATAAAGCGGGAACATCATTCGCATTTATATGTTGTGAAACACTGTGATCTGTTTCCTCGTTGGTTTCGCGAACAAGTTGTTTAGGTTTTTGTCATAAAATATAATTGCATGTCAGTTGTCTTAAATTTTGGTAAAACCAACATGTCAATTTTTGGGTATAAATTAGGTGAAAAAACTGAAGGAAACCAATTCTCCGCATATACTGATGAATTATACAACTAGGCTATTGGACCTCTAAGCCCAGAACTGTACTCAGGGTGTCATGTGAACGACATAAAATTCTTGGGAGCTGACCGTGATGACAAGCTTTGTACTCAAAACAGTGATGTACATGTCCAGGAACGGGATATACTGCAGACATTGATTTCTATGGCAAATTAACAAGTGTGGTCCAATTGCTTTACAAAGACCGTCGTCAATTCATCATTTTTAAGTGTCATTGATTCGATATAGACCCTAGTAGGAATGGGGGTGTTAAAGGGGACGATGGTTTACTATCGGTGCACACTACCCGTTGTTGGTACAATGAAAACCCATACATTTTGGCAACTATGGCCAAACAAATTTTCTACATCGATGATCCAAAGGCCAAGAGGGGATGGAAAGTTGTTCAGAGGATTGATCACAAAGGGGTGTATGATATTTTGGACCGAGATTCTGATGACAACGACGATGACGACAACTTTTCCGACCACCTCCTCGGAACTTCAACACAAATTAGTGCAGAAACACTTTGGGATACTAATATTGTCCATGAACCATTTTAGGTAGTTGGAGGTCCTCAAATCGAAATTCTATAGACTTAATTACAATTGATCTTGGAAGTCTCCCAAGATACAATCCACCTAAGGGCGCAGATGATGTTGTTGATGTACCAACAGATGAGGATGAATGAGAGATTGAAAGTGATCAAAGTAAAGACAATGATATTTATTGTACCGAGGATGAGGATTAAAGACTTTTAACTTATATGCAATGCAATTAAGTGTATGTAATTTTTTATATATAAACAAATTTTAATTTATTAAATTTGTAATTGGATAAAAGATTACAAAAAAAACAAATTAAAGTCAATTCAAAGTGACGAACACTAGAAAGTCGTAGTGCATAACGTAATAGTGCGATGAAAACAAGAAAATTCGTCGCTCAAGGTAGGTTTGCAAGACGCAAGGGACGCATTCGTCGCATGTGGTGGTTCGTGCGATGCAACAAGTTCAGTTTTTTGCTTAAGGTCTTCAAAATTTCCCAAAATAAAAATATTGGCACCTGTTTTTTTAAATGTTCATTAAACATTGGGCGACAAATTAGGGTAAATCGTCCCGCAATATCGTATTGTGCGACAAATGGGATAACTTCGTCACTACATGTCCTTCAAAATTCCCAAATTAAAATGTAGGCGCCTTTTTTTTTTAAATGTTCATTAAATATTGCGCAATGAAATGTGCTATATTTGTCGCATTTTTGACTTATACGCGACGAATGTTTTCCTTTTGTTGCGCATTATTCTCAAATTAACCAAAAATAAGGCAGGTTTTTATTTTTATTTTTTTAAATTCATTAAAACTGAGCGATGAATGTGTTTGTGGCGCAAAGTCCTTCGCATTATTAGTTCCATAGAGCATTTCTTTCTCTCATTTTCCAAAACCTCTATCTCACTCCAACCGTCTCTCTCACTCGAGCTCTCTCACTCGAGCTATCTCACTCCAACCTCTAACTTTCTCTCCCCCCCTCAAACTCTCTCTCTCCCTGCAACTTTCTCTCTCTCTCCAACTCTCTCTCCCACGAACTCTTTTTCTCTCAACTCTGAGGTAATTCATTTTTTTTTCTTCATTTGTTAATTATTTTAGATGTATGGTTTTTGTGGATTGATTACATATTAGGGTATTAGGCATAAGGGGTTACGGATTTAGGGATTTTGTCAATTTGGGGATTTAGGGTTTCTCTCATTTTGGGGATTTATGGTTTATCTCAATTTGGGGGATTTAGGGATTTCGAAATTGGGGGTTTAGGGATTTTAGAAATAGGGAATTTAGGGATTTCGAAATTTGGGGAGTAGGGCTTGGGTGGGCATCGGGGATGGGTGGTGAGGGGGGAGGGGTGGGGGATTGGGTTAGGGTGGCGGTGCTTGAGTCATCGAGGGTTGGATAGGGGTGGTGCGGGGATGGATGGTATGGGGTGGGGGTTGGGTATAGTTAAAATTTTAAATTTCATAATTTTTATGCAAATTTCATTTAATTTTCAATTTATTCGAATTTTTAATATGTTAACAAATTTCATTTAAATTACTTAAATTTGTTAAGTTGTTAATTTTATAATTTTCTGTTTGAATTTCGTAAGTTTAGGGTTTTTATTTTTATTTTTATAATGTTAGGATTAACATATTAGTGTTAGAGATTATTGTATAACTTTATAATTATAGGTTTAGAATTTTAGTTTATAGTTATTTTATGTTTTGTAAGTTTATTTGTTCATTTGTTAACTTTAAAATCATAGGTTTAGAATTTTAGTTTAATTTTTTAATTTTAGAATTAAGATTTTAGTTGTTGGGATTAAGGTTTAGAATTAATGTAGGGTTAAAATTAAAAAAAAAGATTTGGATGAAGTATTATTTGTTGGGATTAATTTGTTAAATTAGTTGAATTTGTTAACTTAAACATTTGTTGGTTTACACTTTTAATTTAATTTTATAAATTTAGGATTAATATTTAGGTTGTAGGTATAAATTTGAATATTTTTTGTATTAATTTACTAATTCTAGGGTTGCTTTTACAAGTTCATAAATTTTGTGTTATTTGTAGATTTATAAGGTTCAATTTTTACTTTTTAAATTTTAGGCTTTTGTATTGATTATATAAATTGGTATTAACAACATAGTTTTAAATGTTGGTCGAGGTAACGTAGATTAGTCAGTAGGCCCCCTCCGACACCTCGGCCACCTACTACTACTACTGCTTCCACAACTTCACAAGCACTAGCCCTGATGACGAAGGCTGTCATACATCCGCCCTAGGCCACGATGTCGGCAGTGCCTGAGTCATTGACTTCTTCAGTGACTCATCTGTTATTGAGCGCTTAGCGCTCTCATCAACGACCCTAGCCTATCGATGAGGGTGATGAGTTTGCATCAGCTTCCACCGCAGTAGGTTATGGGAATTGTTGTGTACTTAAGTTGGTTGAGTTGTTTATTTGTTTGTAGGTTATGGGAAATGTTGTATTTTTAGGGGAAGTTCTGTCGAATTTTTCGTAGATTATTTAAATTATTTTTACATTAACTTATTTCATTTTGTAGGTCGTAAAAAAAAAAAACAAAGGGTCCATGCAGACTCATGGGCACGTCACAACTCACCCGCACCACCCAATAACGTATAAAGATTCCATGGGATGCTCGACATCGGGTGGCAGCAACAAAGGAGTATCACAACCGTTCAGTCCACAACGTTGGCTCCATTATGCATCATCACTGCCCCATGCAGTGGGAGTCTTAGAGATTTGTCCCACAGGAGACCAAGGACTATGTTCTTCATGAGCTATCAATTAGTAAAGTTTTCTTTGTTTTCATTATTTTGTAAGTAAAGTTGTGAAATTTAATAACTGTTAACTTTGATTAATTTGGTTCGTATTTGTAGCATCACTATGACCTCGAGGACCTTGATGCCAATCAAGCCAAGTACATCCAATAACTTTTCACCAGCTGGTTCACTCAGTGGAAGAGCGACCTCCACAAGTATTTCGAGAGATTTGATGATCCGACTGAAGCTCTAGCACACGGGTGCCCCTTGGAGTTGGCGAAGCGCCCTGAAAATTGGAACTGGCTCTGCACCCATTTTCAGGATGAAAAATACTTGGTAAGTGAATTATATAAATTAATAATATTTTATTAATACTTCAATCCCGTTTATTAATTTATTTTAATACTTTATGATTAATATCGGCACTAATACAATTCGTTTCATTTTAATAGAAAAGAGCCAAGGCAACGCAATAAATAGGTTGAAGAAAAAGCTTATCCACCACTCCAACTCCAGATGCTTTTCATATAGGATGGAGGAGTGACGTTGGGTAACCACATTTTTCCATAAAAAGTTATTACTTTTACTCTAAATTACACAACTAATAACTAATTATTATTATTTTTTAATACAGGCAGGGACGAAATTTTCGGAGATTGACACATTGAAGAAAGTGTACGTGCGGCCCGTGGATGAATTCACACAGGGGCTCCATGTAAGTTTTTGTAATTTTTAAATTTATAATTCTTATTCATTTTAAATAAATGTTAATAAACTTGCTTTTATAATTATAGGCTACTATGATGGAGAGGAGCCAGGCTGTCCTTGAGGAAATGGCTTCCCAACTTCCCCCCGACACCCTAATAGAGGAGGTACCCCCCCTCCCCGAGGATGCGAGTCTCCATATGATGATGGACACCCTCAACCCGAGACTCGGTCGTAGGCTGGGGAAGGTGTATTGGGGTATGGGAAATGCCTGCCATTGTGAGACGGGAGCCTCATCTTTCACCTTTACCTCGAGACAAGTCGCATCATTGACAGAAAAGTAGCGGAACTCGAGCAGCAAGCGGCGATCTAACATAAGCACATTGCGACACAATTTACCCACATCGCCACCCAGGAAGCTCATATTGCTGCCTAAGAGTCTAAGATGGTTCAGATCATTGCCACACTTCAGCTGTCTGACTTCAACATCCCATGCCCTTGACCCAACACAGCCGACCGCAGAACTTGACTATGATAACTTTTTATTGTAGTTTTTTATTTTTTTAATTAAACATTCGTGCATTTAAAAATTTTCCCCACTCGTACATACATTTTCCATATTTATTTTAAATTAATATTCTTCTTTATCAATTACTGTTCTTAATTAAATTTAACCAAACAAAATTATTTTGTTTTGAAATTCAGATTATAAACAATTTAAAAAAAAAAAAAAGGTTTGCACGACGCAATAATTCATTGTTGTGACGAAGAATCTCTTCGTCGTTATGTTCTTGCAGCACAAAACACTTTGTCCCTCTAATCTATATACGACCAATCCTGTTTTGTCGTGAATATAAATATGCAACGAATAATCTTCATCCTTATTTGTTTTACGCGACGACCTCGTTCGTCGTCTCGTAAGAAACCTTTGTCCCTTAAAACTTTATGCGATGAAAAATCTCTTCGTCGTTTCCGCCTTGCGCCACGAAACCCTTTGTCCCTCTAATGTTCATGCGACGAGTTTAGTTTTGTCACGCCCACAAGTATATGTGATGAATTGTCTTCGCCCCTATGAATTTGAAGCGACGACGTAGTTTTTCGTTGCGTATAACTATTTGTGCGACGAAGTGTTATATTTTTGTCTCGCAATACCTTTCTTTACGAGCCTTGCGTGATCAACTTAGGGCGACGAAGTTTTTGTTGTTTATAATTTTAGGCGGCGAATTTCTTATTTATGCGACGAATTCTTGTTTATCTCAATAATTGTTTTATGCACTAATGGATGATGGCTATGCTAGTGCTGGGCTTTGCACCGTTTGGACCAATGCTATTGGTTGCATGGCTTGGGCTACTGTTATTGGCTGCGAGGCTTTGGCCTGGTCTTGGTACTGCAGTAATAGTTGCAACTACTACTGACGCGGGTGATAGTGGTCACCCAGCCTCCGAGCTCATCCACGAGAAGCGGCTGCATGAGACTAATGTTGGAGCTACGTTGTGGTTTCCGTTAATGGGTGGAAAGCCAGGCACCTAGGAAGTGTTGTTCGTCATGGTTTTTGAAATTTCCAACCATGTTTTCCTTCTTTTTGGGCACACGAATCAAGGAATTAAAAGTTCGGAGATTGGGTGCTTTAGAAAAGTTCAAAGAGGTAGAAATTTGAAAAGAATTAAGAGAGCTTCTTTGAGATTTGAATTAAGCTCTCAATGAATACACCAATTTTTGGTAGCATAATTCTACCCCCTTAAGATTTGATGAAATTGTACCCACAAAACAAATTAAACATCTTTGGTTATGACCAAAGCCACACGCCCAATAAAGTTGGAGGTTTGGCCATGAACCTCTAATGCCTAAGTCAATTTCTCTTAAACGAGTGACAAAGAGAGATTTAGCTTTGAATTATGTAGAATCAACTTACTAGAGAATAAACTAGTGATGGGGGTATTTATAGGAGCTAGGGCTAGCCACATGTGTAGAGGATCCCATGCCATGTATTGATATCCAATTGGTCAGAGTGTGTCATATGTTAGATGCAATAGGAAACTATCTTTGATATGCATTAGAATAATCCTTAAAGATATTATTAAGTTTATTAATAATATTCTAAGACTTTGGGGAATCCTTGATTGAATTTGCTTGTGCTTCCTTCAAGAAAGAAATATGTCTTCAATTAGGAAAACATAAAAGAGAAATTAGTTATTAATTAGCAACTTAGGTCTTCTTTGTTGTTTAAATTACGCGTGGAACGATTGCGGTGAATTACGCGTGGAAAGAATGCGGAATTCGCCAATTTAATGAGGACATTCTCATCAAAAGGGAATAAAAGCCTACATGTCATATTCAGAATTATTTTTTGCTCCACAACCACATTGCAATATGTAGTCCTACCAATATATATAAATAACGATGAGGGAAATTGAACCAAGGGCAATCATGATTAGGGTTGAATGAACTATTAATTGAGTTATTGGTAATTTGATGTGGGGGATAACCATGATTAAATATGGCATGAAACCAGTTGTTATAAATGAATAAGAAGAATTGAACAAATGATTGATCAGTGTTTACCTTGAACTTGAGGTATTCGATAAATTGAACAAATGATTGATCGGTGTTTACCTTGAACTTGAGGTATTCGATGAATTGACTGTGAGTAAGAATTTTATGTCATTCAAAATTAGTTGTTATGAAAATATTCATAATGAAAATAATGAATTTAAAATAATGATGCTGATATAATTTGAAAATAAGTTTTATTGCAAAATTTGCACTGGAATTTACAATTGATTTATTGACAATTGAGTCAGCAAATAAGAAAATGATTGATGAAAAGGATATTGATGCACGCAGGCATCCTTGACATTTGAAAATTAAAAGTGTTTACAATTTTTTATTTTTTTTTGGGTACAATGTGAATTCAAAGAAACTTTTGATTGAGAAATTGTGGAAATTCCAAACTTGTAACTTTCTTATCCGTTATCCACTTCTTATAGACTTGGAAAATGTCTTGGAAGACTTGCTTTTACTATTTGATGAATGATGACTTGCTTTCACTATTGATGAACATTGAAATTTGTTGGAATAATTATTGTTTTTACTGTAGAAGCACGGGATGAATGATTGAATGACTCTAAGCTTTTTCAGAATCATTGATGAGAATAATTTCAAAATGCTTCACATGGTGTCTTGGAAGGAAAGCTGAATTTTCACATGGCTAATGATTGTGTTCACATGGTGACTTGACATGATGACTGGCGTTTTCACATGGCTTTAAGCAAATGGGTCTTGCGAATCTTGGTAGTCGGCCCACTTAGCTGACTGTGTCTTTTGGATTGTTGAGTTAGATGGTTGCTGTGAGGATGTGTCTGAAGATTCGGAGTATGTGGCTTCTTCTTCTTCAGTATGGAGCATCGCTGCTTCTGCAAGTAATTGTTGTGTTAAATCTTCAAGCTGAGTTGCTTTATTTCTTTGAGCCTGACAATTTGGTAGACTTGATTTTTCCTTTGAGGGATGAAGATGAACTAATGTCCGATAATGATTGTTCTGGGATGACTGGAAGTGATGGCTGTGTTGGTTGTGCCGGAATGACTGGGAGTGGAGTAATGGTGTAACAACCTATCCTGATTTTATTGGAAAGAAGAGGGTATTTTCGTGAAATTTCTCTTTGGGCTAGATCTTTTTCTTTTAAAATTTGTTTTTGGGTCTTAATTTGTGAGCCCAAGGGGTTTACCTCCTAATTTGTCCCCCGATTCCCTTCCCTTTTCATTTCTTTATCTGATTTTTATAACTCTCTCCCCGAAACTCTATGCGTCACTCTCCCGACCTCACTTTTCCCTCCTCACCGTCGAACACACACACACACATCAACCACCACCACCACACCTGGACTGTGATCTCGAAAACCCTAAGCCAATGGAGTGCTCCACCGTGGTAGTCACAGTGCTTAATCCCTCGACGAACTCCGGTGACTTTCGAGGATTTTCCAACGTAGGTAAGCTTCGAGACTCCTTTGATCTTCGTTCCTCGTAGTCTACATTACTTGGTTAGTGATTAAAATGGATTTGGTGAAGGTTTTACCACGAAAAACAACTCAAGGGGCATTTTTTAGGAATATGGAAATTCCAGGCCGTGGTCATTTGGCCATCTTTTAGACCATTTTCGGCCAACTCCTGCCACCACCCAGTCCCCACTTGGTATAAATCTCTTCTCTACATTCCTAACTACATTTTGGCTTTTGAATCACTCAATTTGGTTAAGCAATGAAGAAGTTACGAAGCTTTGAAAATTGCCCAAACCTTCGGCCAAAAACCTAGTTTTCCAGCTAGCACGGCCCCTTTTGAGGCATTTTCCAGCTAAACCACGATGATTTGTCCGGTGTGCAGGATATCAATCTCTTCATCTCGTCGAGTGATACAGCTTTCATGTTTGGATTACTTGATTTGGATAAGTAACGAAGAAGTTATGAGCCTTGGAATATCAACCTAGAAACCGGCCAAAAACTGGTCAACCATACTGTTTTCCCTGAAACCCAAACCCATTTAGGCTGAGACCTAGCCCAATTACCCATCCTTTTAAGTCTAGGCCTTGGGCCGGATTACCCAAGCCCAACCCAAATATTTTTATTTATTTATTTTTCTTTTTATAAAACCTAAAGGCCTTGGGCCATTTCTATTAGGGCCTTAAGCCCGTTACCCATTAAACCTTTTAAACCCATAACCCTTTCTAGGCCTTGAGCTGTATATCCCCATAACCTAAATCATTGTAACCCCAGTCCAAAACCCTAAACCCTAGCCGGCCCAAACCCTTTATGTGGAATATTCCGTTAGGAAATATTCCCTTAGAGAATATTCTGTCAAGGAATATTCTCTAGAATATTCTTTGTGTTAACTTTTACGAAATTTATCCGAGACCTCTTTTAGAGTAATTCGACGTCCTGAATTTGTTTCTGACGTCCGTTTTCCCAAATTAAATCATTCGGATAGAGTTTTATTAATTGTACCTTTTATTTGCTTAGGGGCAATTATACGTGGCATTTCCTTCTTCGCTAGGTGGCGTGGCTTCTCGACGGCGAAGTACTGTGAGTGGACCCCTTCTAAAAATGCATTTCTCAATAGAAGAAATGCATACATGAAAATCATGATTTAATGATTACGTTTTATGAGATAACATGCTTATTGAGGCTAATTTGAATTATTACTATTTTTCCTATAACCCATGTTCTTTATAGGATATTTGATGGATGACGATATAATATTTAGAACATGTTTCGAACACCTCTTTATAGTATAGATGATGGATAACTTTATACTATGTAGTTGCTTTTCTAATATATGTATGTTCAATGATTTTGTACTTACCTAGTAGTCCCTATTCCACTACGGGGCGAGGGATAGATTCCGTCTTGAGTAAGGGTCCGGTGCTGGCATAGGGTGTGAAGATGGTTTTCCTCTGGAAAATTGGCACAGCGACGGGGAGCTGGACTAAGGCCTAAAGGTGATTTTCCTCTGGGAATTGGTATAGGGACAGGGAGCAAGCATGAGGCCTGGAGGGATATTGGACATTCATTAGTGATTACGATATATGCGAGATATGTTTTAAGATATTG